CTGAATATTTCACCAATCCAATTATGCTCTGCATCCTTTTGTAAATTTTGCACATTTCCTTCAATTTGTTCTAACTGAGAAATATCATTTTCAACCTCATGTGTGACATTTGGAATGTGGATGCAGCAGTGTTCATCCCGTGCATGCAGGTAACCACAAACTCCATGTTCCTTTAATAGAATTAAATCTAATGCCATTCGGTTTTGTATAGTCATGCGAGTAGTCACTTGTAATTGGATATTCATGTCCTTAAATCCCTTCTTGGTAGCCGCTGCCAATCTTTCCGTTTGACTCATCAATTTGAACAGCATCTCTCTGTTATGATAAGATGCAATCGGTGCAAACAAGGACTCTAATGCCCATCCAAATTTAACTCCAGATGATGGGTCATGCCACTCATCTAGGTTTTGCTCTAAGGCCCTTTTTCGCCTGGGTTGTATATCTGTAGTGGTCAATTCCACTGTTTTCCAATAAGGGCATAGGGTAGGAACTCCTAAGGTAATCTGTGTCGCAGGGCCATCTACAGGCATATGAGTGGTCCATTGTCCATGTCCCATTACCCAAACTAGATTTCCTGGGCTGCTCACAGTAGTGGTGAGACAATCTACACTACGCGAGCTATTATAACCTAATATGGAGTGATTGTATCCCCGACACTCACAACCCAATCTTAACAGAATTCGTACTGGGATTAAACCTACGTCACCATTGGGAGTGTCACATGTGTAAACTCGAGTGCAATTCCATAAATCCGTAGGTGAGAGTATTTACCGCCATTGCCTATGTTTTGAATGTAGAAAAGAGTAATTTGGTTTTTGGAACCTACCCAATGAATGCACCATTGTACTTTCCCTAAATAGCTGTAGGTTTCTAATAAACTAGGTCCCCAAATTGTTTGCCACTTTTCCAGAGTAGTAGGAGTAGTGTTATTTTGACACTTTTGTTCCGATTTTCCCTCATCCATTTGGACTTGTACCCTTACACAGGTGTCTATGCTACTAATAGAAGGGGAAACTATACACTGTCCAGACAAGCCATGCATACTTCCATCTATCCACTTGAGGAATCCTGACAACTGTTCACATTGTTCTCGGGTTTTAACACTTCCATAAAGACAACCATCTATCGTTACTGGGTGAGATTTAGTTAAAAACTTACAACTCCATGTGGTATTAACAAATAGTCTCGGGAGTTCTGGAACCGGTATTATTCCCCATGGGATCGGATCCCCAGCTGCATGTGGCAGTGGAAGACATGCAGTAATTCTAGAGACATTTTGAATCATTCCAAAATCTCTAATTAGTCCAACTATTAAGTTTTCTTGCTTGGTTCCTGTATAGGAAATGTGTGGGATTCGTGGAGCCTGTGATGTATGAGTCTGTCGAGTCATTCACACAGTCTTTACATAAACAGAGGTCACTCCTGTCCCCCACCAGTCATCATTACTTATCCAGCAAATGTATTGTCCTTCATCCTGCCCTCTTCTTGTCTATTGAATTGATAAAGTAATACTTTGTGGCCCCTGCTCAATGCGATATTTAGAATCATTTTGTAAGTTATAACCTTTGAACCACCAACCATAGTCCGAGAAAAGCTGTCTCCGAATCTTGCAACTCAGGGTAGCATTTCCTCCTTCTGCTATGGTATAACTTTCCTGTTCTGGTTGAATTTCCTGGCCTTGATATGGCACACTTCTAACTGTCCTGATCCCATAATTCCCTTCCTCGTCACAAGAGACAGCACATACAAAGGTACTTTCAGTGTCCCCTACTTCTGGATTTGAAATATTTAACCAACCTATTCCATTCTCCTCGTCAGACCACCAGCCAATTCCCTCAGTTTGTCTTTCCCATATTCCAGTTGTCATGTTTATTTTCCACCATTTAAGATCAAGGTTCTCATAGCATGGATAGCTCAATTTAAACGTGCAATTAATCCGTAGAGGAGGGCCATGCCATGTATCAACTTGCAGATGAAGGGGTATCTGTATGCCTGAGTCCCTATTATGTGTGGAATTAAACGTGTGTATTCTCGCATACTCGTAATCAAAACTCATTTGAACCCACACTATGCAAGAATACACACCATCGACCTCAGGAGTCACAGTGGGTACCTGCAAGACGGTATAGCCCTTTCGCTGGGTCCTGTTCCATACCGTGGTCACACCTTGGGTTATATCATGGTCCCAATCCATCCATCGCCACCAAACATGCACGTCATCCCATTCAGCTTCCCGGTTTTCAGAAAACAAACAGGTCAGATTTACACTTGTTCCTTCAGGCACTAAAACAAAAGGATTAGACACAGTAATTGTAACACCTGCATCAGTGGTACCTATTAACAGTAACAGAATTACTATTCGCACTATGAGTCTTATTGGACCGCCCGGAACACCGTTCTGGTCGGCGTGATGGATTCTGCAGTCCACTGCACAGGGACCTTCTTGACCCTCGTGTAATGAATCCAGTTGTCAATGCCTTCGACCTTGACTGCTGTATAGGTTGTCATCAACACCTGGCGGGGGCCGTCCCATGTTTCCTTCAGTGGTTCTACTGACCAATTCTTCACGTAGACCTGATCTCCTGGAGAAATGTCATGCACTGGATTCTCCAGAGGTAAAGGCCGATTCCACTGTAAGGCTCCCCGAAGCGCTAAAAGAGTCTTATTTAGAGACAAGATATAGTTAAACACAGCTTGGTCTCCCACTACATGAGGGTCACCCTGATACGTCGCAGCGTGATATGGTTTTCCATACAAAATTTCGTATGGGCTTACCCCAATTCTTTCCCTAGGTTTAATCCTGATTCTCAACAGAGCAAGAGGCAAAACTTGGGGCCACTGAATTTTCACTTCTTGACAAATTTTCTTTAATTGGTTTTTCAGGGTCTGATTCATCCTTTCCACCTGCCCACTAGATTGTGGCCTCCACGGGGTGTGGAGATTCCATACTATTCCTAACACTGTGGCTAAATCCTGTACAACTCCTGCAATAAAGTGTGGTCCTCTGTCTGAAGATAATCCTAATGGTACTCCAAATCTCGGGATAATTTCTTTCAAAAGAGTCTTTACTACTTCCTTAGCCTGGTTAGTTCTACATGGAAAAGCCTCTGGCCACCCTGAAAAGGTACACACATACACCAGCAAATATTTGTATGTTTGAGCCCTTGGCAATTCAGAAAAGTCTACCTGCCAGTAGTCTCCTGGAAGCTGTCCAATCTGAAGTTTTACCATTTGTACCTGTTTCCTCACTATTGGATTGTTTTTAATACATGCTGGACATGTCGCATTCACCCTTTTAGCCAGCGTTAACATCTGATTTGAGAAAACTTTATTTCTCAGAAATTTAACCATTGCTTCTGCACCCCAGTGGCACTTACCATGTTCGATTTCAAGCACTGTCTTCATTATTCGGACTGGCAGTATTACCTGTCCAGTAGGGGTAATATACCATCCTTTTACATTTTTCTTTGCTTCCATCATGTGGGCCAACTTTTCATCCTCTGGTGTGTAATGGGGCTTTTCTTCCAAGTGTACTGCTGCTGGGTTATCACGAGTTGGTAGCAAAGCCATTTGAGTCCATACCTGTGTAGCTGCTCGTCGTGCTGCTTGGTCTGCCAATCTGTTTCCTTGTGACTCCGGTTCCGAACTGGTTTGGTGTCCCTTCACATGCATTATGGCTACAGCTGACGGTTTGTGTATTGCCTCTAGTAGCTGAAGAATTTCTTCCCGATGTTTAATCGCTGTCCCTTGTGAAGTAAGCAACCCTCTCTCCTTCCACAATGCCCCATGTACATGAACTACTCCAAAAGCATACTTTGAGTCAGTCCAGATATTAACTCTCCTTTCCTGACTTAAGACTAGGGCTCTTACTAGTGCCCATATTTTGGCTTTTTGTGTTGATGTTCCCGGGGGTAATGCCTTTGCTTCCACAACTTCCTGTAGGGTTACCACCACGTACCCTGCATACCTGGTACCTTTTTCCACAAAACTTGATCCATCTGTGAACAGTTCCCAGTCCGGGTTTTCCAGTGGTTCATCCTTCAAGTCCTTTCGACTAGCATAGACGTGTTCGATTGTCTCCATGCAGTCATGTTCCAGGACTCCCTCTTCCTGGGCGGACCTGAGAAACTCAGCTGGATTGAGATGATTAGTAACTTTTAATTCAATGTCATCCTGTTCCCTAAGCAGGGCCTGGTATTGTAACATTCTGCTGGAGGAGAGCCAATGTCCTCCTTTCTGTTCCAGGACTGCTATGACCATATGTGGCACGTAAACTGTAATATGCCTTCCCAGAGTCAGTTTACGTGCTTCCTGGATCAATATCACCGTTGCTGCTACTGCCCTGAGACACCCAGGCCAACCCCCACTTACAGTGTCCAGTTGCTTTGAAAAGTAACCAACGGGTCTCTTCCAGGATCCCAGTCGTTGTGTGAGTACTCCCAGGGCCAACCGTTGTCTTTCACAGACATACAGCTGGAAATCTTTAGTTATGTCAGGCAGTCCTAAAACAGGTGCTTCCCGCAAGGCTTTCTTTAGATCCTGGAATGCCTTTTCCTGTGCCGGTCTCCAAACTAGCTGCGGCTCTTTCACTGCTTCGTACAGTGGTCTGGCAAGGAGTCCGAAATCAGGAATCCATAGTCGACACCAGCCGATCATTCCTAGAAAAGATCTCAATTCCTGATTATTCCGTGGGACCGGGATAGCACAGATAGCTTTTACTCTGTTTGTGCCTAGTCGCCGAACTCCTTGGGAAATCTCGCAACCCAGGTAGATAACTTTTTGTTTAACTAATTGAACCTTTTCCTTTGAAACTCAGTATCCCGCTTGGCCCAACATGTTTAGCAGTTCAATGGTTAGCTTGTAGCACAGCTCTCATCCTTCTGTACCCAGAAGGATGTCATCTACATATTGCAATACTATGTAGGAAAAAGGAGAGTCTTTTACCTGTGATGTCTTCCACTCTTCAAGTTCTTTTGCTAGCTGATTACCAAATATTGTAGGCGAAGATTTATATCCCTGTGGTAGACGCGTCCAGGTTAGCTGTCTCTTCCTCCCCGTGTCAGAATTTTCCCACTCAAAGGCGAAAAGGTGCCAGCTCTCCGGTGCCAATGGTATGCAGAAGAATGCATCTTTCAAATCTATTACTGAAAACCACTGAAATTTCTCAGAAACAGATGTTAACAAGGTTTGCAACCACCGGGTGAATGTCCTTGGTTAAAAGATTGACTGCCCTCAGATCTTGTACTAGTCTGTATTTCCTGTTTGGTTTCCTTACTGGAAAGATTGGTGTATTAAATTCTGATTCACACGCCTTTAATATTCCAAGAACTATAAATTGTTCAATTAGAGGCACTACCCCCCTTCTCGCCTCTAAACTAATTGGGTATTGTTTAATCCGCACTGGCTGTGCCCCTTCCTTAAGTTCTATCACTACTGGAGCTGCTGCTTTAGATAAACCCGGGACCCCGACCTCCCACACCCAAGGGACAACTGCGTGTTCTATTTCCTGAGGAATTTCTTCTGTTTCTATTTCCTTTACCGTAAATATTTGTGCTACATTTTCTTCTGGGATTTCTACCTTGACCCTTCCATTTTCAAACACAATAGTAGCCTGTAAGAAGGACAACAAATCTCTCCCTAACAAACACTCTGGGCTATTAGGCATATAAAGAAATTGGTGATCCAATTGTTTCCCCCTAAATTTGATATCCAGTGGCCTCAAGAATGCACGTTCCTCTGCCTGTCCCGATACACCCACAACACGGACAGTTGAATTACTTAAAGGACCCATTAACCGATTCATTGCTGAAAAACTAGCTCCCGTATCTACGCGAAATTCCATAGGTTCTCCTTCTATTTCCAGGACAACCTTTAGGTCCTGGTCTAGTCAACTTTGGCTATTGTAGTTTTGCAACATAAATGCTTGAGCGACACCGTGTGGCGTCCCATTAACTGCACCCGGCATGTTCCCGGCAAATGAATTCATTCCTACCCCCGCATTTAGGGGGCATTCATTCTTCCAATGTCCCTGACCCTTGCATAGTGCACACTGATTTAACCCTATCTTTCCACATCCCCCCTGGAATCCAAATCCACCCTGATTATTAAAACCTCTCCCAACTCCTCTCCCTCTGCTTCTATTCTCTCTGCCATAATTCCCTCCGGCTGCCTGCAAAATGGCTAACATGCTCGCTTGTTGTTTCTTTGTCTGCTCCTTCTCACGATTATTATACACTTTCCAAGACACTTCTAACAATTTTTCTAAATTCCACGTCTCTTCCCCTTCTAATTTCTGCAGCTTCTTTCTAATATCTTCCTGGGACTGCCCCATGAAAATCAAAGCCAGCTGTAACTTCCCCGATTCAGCCTCTACATCCAAATCTGTATATTTTCGAGCTGTCTCCTTTAATCTTTCTAAGAAGGCAGAGGAGGACTCTGCCTTATCCTGCCGCACAGAGTACAGCTTCGACCAGTTTAAAGTCTTTGGAATTCCGCTTCGAATTCCTTCTATCAATAAATCTTGGTAAACCTTTAACCCATGGTAGTCGGCTGCAGCATTGGGATTCCACTCGGGATTTTCCCGAGGGACTAAATCATTAACCGTTCCCTGCCCAGGCTGCGCGCGTATCTTTTCTCTGGCTCTCTCAACCATTACACGCAATACCATTTCTTTTTCAGTAGAATCTAGGATTGTATCCAATAAAACCTGCAAATCAGTCCAGTCCGGGTTCTGAGTTTTTATAACCATTTTTACAACACGCGCTACGCGCTCAGGATTTTCTCTATACGCCCCTGCTGATTGCTTCCAAATTAATAAATCACTTGGCGAGAAAGGCACTTTCACCATGACACGCGCTCCTCCTGCCCCCACTGCCTCTTGCAGAGGGACCATCAATTTCGGGGGCGAGGGCGACACAGCCCTCTCCTCGTTTCCATGTCTCCGCTCTCGACTTCTTCCCCGTTCTTTCCTTCCCCTACGAGTCCGTCCCGCTAACGGAGTCCTATCAGTGTGCTCCTTTTCCTCCTCATCCGAGGATGATGGGGGCATAGGTGGGGGCGAATCTCACCTGCGTGAGGGAGTTGCTCTCAATGGGGGTGCGGTAGGAGTGGGGGCTGCTCTTGATGGGGGCGCAGTAGGTGTGGGAGCTGCTCTTAATGGGGGCGCAGTAGGGGTAAGGCTCGGAGAGACTAACAAAGCAATATCTTCCTCCGGTTCAACAAGCCGTGCCTTTCGTTCTTTGCATCCCACACATTCGTCATTTGATGCTTTTAGTACCAACACACCACAGTCATTCTGCCACTCAGGTTTACGTCTCAGATAATAAAATAAATCTAAATATGGTATTTCATCCCATAGATCATTGTCTTTTAAATATTGCAGTAAAGGAGACATTATCTCTAGCGTTATAGTGCCGTTTTTCGGCCACTGCATCCCTTCAGTATCATACTTCGGCCACACATTATTACAATAGTCAATTAACTGCTTTTTACTTAGTTCTTGTCCAAAGTTCCCCTCCTTCCAATGCTTTAGTATGCGACCGAGCGGAGAATCTTCAGGAATATTAGTTTCAGAACAGGACAATGCTCTAAAGGTTTTAAAAGGCATCATTCCCACAATAGCACAACAGACTCACACAAACAGCAAATACCACAAAAAAATAAAATGTCACAAGCAATAAAATACCACAAACAGTTACGTAACTTGTTTCCACAACCAATTTGCCGAAATCCAGTATACGGCAAATACTGGCTCAGCGCAGCTTTCGCCACGTCTTACGACCAGTGCCTAGGCTTCCCCCAAAAAAATACCTCTCTCAGCCCAACCCAGCGAGTATACACGAACTCGTCTTATAAGGTAGGCTTATAACCCTTAAGAAAAAAAAGCACCTTCGGGCTTACCTGGAATGGTCGTCCGACGGGCGCAGGGGTCGGGCACAGAACGATGACTCCCCAGGAAATTCACCTGGCTGCCAGCATGGAGCGGATTGCCCGTGCGCGGCCCTGGCGACCGACCGGAGTCCCACCTGGTGTCGCCAAGACAACGACGCCCCCTATTGACTGTGGTTAGAATTGCACCAAAGGGCGCAAATTTGAACTGTTTACTTTTCCCTTTGCCTGTTTATTGGTTTGTTTTTTTTGAAGGGGATTCTTTGTGGGTATAGGAGTATTGTTTGGCTGTTTTACTTGGTTTTTTTCAGTGTTTCTGTTAATACACACCTTTTAATAAAGAGTTGTTATTTTTCCTTTTCCATAATTCGTTTTTCCTTCAGTGGGAGTCTCTTAATTTCGGATTTATAATTGCTTAGAGGGAGGAGTTTGGGTCTCTTCTCATAACTCATCCCCAGCAAAAGACCCTTGTCTCATTTAAACTGGGACAGACAGTATGATCCAAGGACCACTACAAGCCTGAATTTCCTCTGTAGAGACATTGATAAATTACCTCAAGACCCTAACTACAGAGATGAAAGATAAACAGGAGAAAATGAAAGAGAGGATCCAGAGAAACAATTCCCATATGGCACCAGTGAGAACCAGACGCCTCCCAGCTAGAGAGAGTGGACAGACCTCACAAACTGAGTTGTGCTATTTCCTATCTGACCATGGAGAAGACATGAGACAGTGCGACAGGAAACCTACCCATGCCCTGGCAGCCCGAGTACAAGAGTTGAAGGAGAGGAAAAAAGGAAAGTCTGTGAAAGTGAGTGCAGTATAGGTATCCCATGGGCAAGGATCTGACCCTCTAGAAGGTACCTCCCATCGATATTCACAGAAGGAAAACTGTGACAAGCAGAAGAAGACCAGTATAAGAGGGGCCAGGCCTCTAACCAGGTAGAGGCACGGGACAACTGTGTCTATTGGACTGTGTGGATCTGATGACCTGGCACATCAGACCCACAAGAATACAAGGCTTTAGTTGAGACTCAGTGCATGTTAATGCCCTCAGGACATGTGCGACCAGAGACTATTTCCATTTCTGGGGTGACAGGAAGGTCTCAAGAGTTGACTGTGTTGGAAGCTGAAGTGAGCTTGACTGGGAAGGAGTGGCAGAAACACCCCATTGTGACAGGTCCGGATGCCCCATGTATCCATGGCATTGACTACCTTAGGAATGGGTATTTCAAAGACCCCAAGGGACATAGATGGGTTTTCAGAATAGCTGCTGTGGAGACAGAGGTGGCTCAGCAGTTGAATTCACTACCTGGCCTCTCGGAGAACCCTTCTGCTGTGGGACTGTTGAAGGTTGAGGAACAGCGAGTGCCAATTGCCACTACAATAGTGCATCATCAGCAGTATCGAACAAACCGAGACTATGATCCCCATCCATAAGATGATTCATGAACTGGAGGGCCAAGCAGTGACCCACTCACTCTTCAACAGCCCCATCTGGGGCATAAGTCTGATGGAGAATAGAGATGGACTATGGACCATCGTGACTTGAATGAAACCACCCTGCTGCTGAGTGTCACTGTTCCAGACATGTTGGAGCTCCAGTACGAGCTAGAGTCCAAGGCAGTGAGGTGGTACTCCACTACTGACATTGCAAATGCATTTTTCTCCATTCCCTTGGCAGAAGAGTGCAGGCCACAGTTTGCTTTCACCTGGAGGGGTGTGCAGTACACCTGGAACCGACTGCCCCAGGGGTGGAAACAAAGTCCCACGATCTGCCACGGACTGATCCAGGCTACACCAGAGAAGGGTGAGGCCCCAGAACACCTGCAGTACATTGATGACATCATCATATAGAGGGACACAGCAGAAGAGGTCTCTGAGAAAGGAAAGAAAATCATACAGATTCTCCTGGGAGCTGGGTTTGCCATCAAAAAGAGTAAAGTCAAGGGACCTGCCCGAGAGATTCAGTTCCTGGGAATAAAGCGGCAAGATGGATGTCATCAGATCCCAACTGAAGTCATCGATAAGATCACAACCATGACTCCACCTACCAGCAAGAAGGAAACCCAAGCTTTCCTGGGTGCCATAGGTTTTTGGAGAATGCATATCCCCGAGTACAGCGAAATCGTAAACCCTCTCTATCTAGTAACCCGCAAGAAGAATGATTTCCAGTGGGGTCCTGAACAGCAGACAGCATTTGAGCAGACTAAGCAGGAGATTGCCCACGCTGTAGCCCTTGAACCAGTCAGGACAGGACCAGATGTGAAGAATGTGCTCTACTCTGCATCTGGGGATAAAGACCTCTCCTGGAGCCTCTGGCAGAAGGTGTCTGGCGAGACCCAAGGCCACCCACTTGTATTCTGGAGCTGAAGCTACAGAGAATCTGAAACCAACTACATGCCAACAGAAAAGGAGATCCTAGAAGCTTATGAGGGAGTACAAGCTGCCTCAGAGGTGATTGGCACAGAAGAACATCTCCTCCTGGCACCTTGACTACCAGTGTTGAGTTGGATGTTCAAGGGGAAGATGCCCTCTACGGATCATGCCACTGACAGTACATGGAGCAAGTGGATTGCCCTGATCATGCAGTGCGCCTGCATTGGAAATCCAAATCGCTCTGGGATCCTAGAAATCATCACCAACTCGCCAGAAGGTGAGAACTTTAGTCTAGCAGAGGAAGAAGAAGGAGAGCAGGTGGTACGGGCGGAGGAAGCCCCAGCATACAATCAACTACCAGAAGAAGACATACGCTACGCACTCTTTACTGATGGTTCCTGCTGCATTGTAGGGATGAAACGTAAATAGAAAGTAGCTGTATGGAGCCCCACACAACAAGTTGCAGAAGCTACTGAAGGAGAAGGTGAATCGAGCCAATTCGCAGAGCTCAAAGCTGTCCAATTTGCGTTGGACATTTCTGAATGAGAGAAGTGGCCAAAACTTTACCTCTACACGGAGTTGTGGATGGTGGCCAATGCCCTGTGGGGGTGGTTGGACAGATGGAAGAAGGTCAATTGGAAACGTAGGGGAAAACCCACCTGGGCTGCTGATATATGGCAAGACATCGCTACCCAGGTAGAGAAACCGATTGTGAGAGTCCACCACGTTGACGCTCATGTGCCTGAAAATCAAACCAATGAAGAGCACAGCAACAATGAACAGGCAGACCGAGCTGCACAAGTCCAGGTGTCACAGGTGGATCTGGACTGGCAGCACAAAGGAGAACTGTTTTTAGTGCGATGGGCCCATGATGCCTCTGGCTGTCAGGACAGAGATACCACGTACAGATGGGCACAAGACTGAGGGGTGCATCTATTTCTCAGACACTATTTCTCCGGTTATCCATGACTGTGAGACGTGCTGCCTTTAAGCAGGCTAAGAGACTGAAACCCCTGTGGTATGGTGGATGATGGAGTAAATACAGGTACAGGGAGGCTTGGCAGGTTGATTATATCACACTGCCACAGACTCGTCAAGGTAAGCGCTATGTGCTCACCATGGTGAAAACCACCACTGGATGGCTGGAGACCCATCCAGTGCCCCACACCACTGCCCGAAATACCATCCTGGGCCTTGAAAAGCAAGTCCTGTGGTGACACGGCACCCCAGAGCGGATTGAGTCAGATAATGGGACACAGTTCAAGAACAGTTTAGTTACCACCTGGGTGAAGGAGCGTGGCACTGAATGAGTCTATCACATCCCATACCATGTTGCAGCCACTGGGAAGGTTTAATGGTGGAATGGATGATTGAAGACCACCCTGAAGGCATTGGGTGGAGGGACTTTCAAACACTGGGATCAACACCTAGGGAAGGCTACATGGTTTGTAAGCACTAGAGGCTCCGTCAATAGAGCTGGCCCTGCCCAATCAGAGTCCCTTCACACTGTTGATGGAGACAAAGTCCCAGTGATTCACTTAGGGGTATGTTAGGTAAAACAGTTTGGGTTAATCCTGCCTAGAGCAAAGGCAAATCCATTCGTGGGATTGTTTTTGCCCAAAGACCTGGTGTCACATGGTGGGTAATGCAGGAAGATGGAGAAACCTGGTGCATACCTCAATGGGATATTATCTTCGGGTAAACAGACCATAACTCTGTATCTGTATTTGTACCTACATATTTGTGAATGTGTATATAGTTTAGAATAATGCATGTATGTATGGAGTTCAAAAAGTTTAATTTGATAGAGTGTGGTGGTATGGGGAGGAAAAATTAGGAGTGGATAATGTCATGATTTTGCTTCTTGGAAACTAAGCAGGACTTTTCCCTTCCCCCTGCCCACTGTGTGAAAAGGATATTGAATGTGCAGATTGACTGTGGCTTAGGCAATTGACTAACACAAAAGAAGTGTCTGGTAAATCCACATTCCTAGTTGGTGGCCCTCAAGATCTTGTCTGTGGGGAGCG